TGAAAAATGCCAAGTCAACGTTATAATAAAGTTTAACAATGCAATTACAAATACAATGGCGATAAGTTGAAGTGATTAGGCGCAGATTTTGTGTGCATATGTGGTTGGGGGAGGAGGGCTGAGGAGAGGGGCTGACGAGAGGTACAAATATAAACTCTAACTCTTAGCCTTAGACCAGTGATTCCCAACCTTAACTGTCGTCCGCATCCGCTAAGATTTATTTGATTTGTCTCAAACTCCCTACGAATTTCTTGACTGAAGTCTTGCAAACCTTGAGAAAAAAAACAATGCACAATGTGAAAATGATGGCCGTCTAATTGATTGATGGAATTGCAGAGAGAACTGTAGAACTCAGAATATAAACAAATTATTGGTTAGTAAATAACGGAAAAAATTAATGATTTAAAAAATGTAAAACATTTATATTCATATCATAACTTAAAAGTAAAAGCGAATATCTCTTCTTATAATCTCTTTTCTCCCCCCCCCCCCCCCCCCCAAACCAACAAAAAAAAAAAATGCCATCTCGCATCCCTTGGAGAGGTGCAAGCAGACCAGGTTGGGAAACCCTGCCTTTAAAAAAAAATCATTTAAAAGATTAAAACTGAAAATAGATAAAAAAAAAAAATATAGAAGAATATTTAAGTAGGTCTACTTTTCTTTGAGGGCTGCTCGGTCGCTCAGGGGGCTGCCGGACACCACGATCACGACTGCTCCTTTAAATATATGAACAACCCTGTGGCTACCTATGATGTGAGCTGCTTAGGGGCCGTCCATAAAGTACGTCACGCTATTTTTGACAATTTTTAACACCCCCCCCCCCCCTGTCACAAACTGTCACAAATCTCGGAACCCCCCCCCCTCCCTAAAGTACGTCACACTTTCGAACAATTTTTTTTTTAAAATTAACACCTAATTAAAATTTAATCTAAAGCACACTTCACTATTAAACTGTTTTAAAATATAAAATTTCCACTTAAAAGAACTCTCACATTATCAAAATTACTCCAATAGTAGAATATTTAATTGTCAACAGTTGTCACAGTTATTCATTGAAGCATTAACTCAATCTAGATTGAATTTGAAAACAAAAAAATTGCAAAAATTAGACTAGACAATTATTATAATACACATCATTTATCTGCTGCTTTTTCATTTACAAAAGGTGAGGTCAAGTTTTAGATAATTTCAAATTGTGCAGTCTTTTTTACACAGGATAAGAAGTAAATAAGCGAAACGTGACCTCACCCAGTGATTAAATAATAAAAAGGAAACAAAACAATTTGACTAAAAAAAAAACTAGATTGACAAAATTTGTGACAAACTCTTGTGCTATATTGAATCTGTTTATTATGGGCCTGTGAATTATGTTTAATTCAAAAATATTCACTGGACATCATCCATCCATGGTGAAGTGAAGTGTTCATCCATAGTTACGACTGGCATCAATCTTTCAAATCATCGTTTCCTGGAAGGATGATTGCAGACAGATCCACTTCATCCTCATCTAGCCACTCAACATCCTCTGGGTGTGCATCTTCTCTTCTGGCAATAACTGCCACGAGTTCCCTTTGCCTTCTAGCAGCGATTCTCAAAGGACTGATGCGTTTTATCTGAGTTGATTCTGGAACAGTTTGGGTTGGCACATCCTCCCGAGCTCTGTGTTGTCATGCATGTTTCTTCGACATTGTTTGTGAGGCAAAGTATAAGTGACATACTTTGCAAATTCGATCAAGTAGGCTGGTCTACAAAGATGGACGATAAAGATCTTATAGTTGTACTTTGAAAACTCCTGTTGATCTCGGAAAGGCTATACATAAAACAAGGCTTCGCAACAGCATACTAGCGCTCCTAGCTAGAGGAATCGTGAACAACACAGTCGGGAGATACGCATTTCATGCTATTTTGACATAAAACTAATTCAAATGTTTCACAAAATTTGTGAAAATTATTTTTAAAGCTATTAAATTCTAATAATAATAAAAAAATTAGAAATAAAATGTAAACAAAAATAAATGTGTGACGTCACACACGGCCTGACCCCCGTCCCCCCTGTCACACTTTCTTACACCCCCTCCCCCCTCTGGAGCGTGACGTACTTTATGGACGGCCCCTTATGTGCAGGTTTGTGACAACGGCTGCCAAGGTATCCACGCCTGCCGCTTGCCCATTACCACAGAACATTGTAGATAATGGAGAAAAAAAAATAAGCCGTATGATGTTTAAAATGAATTGCACTATGACTTGGATTAGAGTTGGGAAGAGTCCAGCAGCAAGATAGGGCCAAGACGGCTTGGTACAGGATTTGGTGCAGTAAATGACCGCGGTGTTCTTCGTGTCTTGCGATGCTCTGGGCGATTCACATCACTTTGGTGTCTCCGCTTTTCTGCCCGTTGACCAACTCCGTGCAGTCCTCCGAACAAAGTTTTCACATGCCGCGGGGATAGGTCCTTGTTTACCTTAACACTAATAATCATTTGGACCCGGGCATGTGGAAATAGTCCTCACATATCAAGACTTGTGGCGCTCTTCCCTATAAAAGTGCTGAATGCAACATAGTGCAAACAGAACAGCTGCTGCAGAGCACAAAAGACAAGCCAGAAAAGCCTGAGTTAACTATGTACGTGGAGTTGTCCCATCCATCCCCTGCACCTCCTGCACCAGAGTATTTCGTGCCAGAATCGGCTTGATCAACCATCAGCGCACCAACAGCTATATTCACGCACAGAATAAAAGGGGTGTTTAAATGGTCATGATCGATTTTCGACGGACGAACTACCACTTTGTTCATAGCCCTTTTAACTTATTTAAAGTTTGAATAATTGTGTCTCAATTATACATTTACCAATTTTAAAATTATTAGTAACTTAACTAAGTGAAATGTTAACTTAACATTTTAAAAAATGATTTGTATTATTATTATTATTATTATTAATATTACCATTATCACTATGACTATTACTATTAACTATTAATTATTATCGCTATCATTTTTTGGATTTTGAATTTGCAAAACCTCACCACTATCTCAGTCAGTTTCTCCCATTTTACGATATCCAAACGCAGAGCAGTATTTCTAAATTAATTTTTATAAGACACTAAATAACATTTAAGACACATAACATTTTACAATAGTTAAAGTTGAAAAAAAAATAAATAATAATAATAAATACAGCACCGTAGCCATAAGGGTACCCGTCTCTGTGACAGAAGCAGTACGGAGTAATCCACCTGAACTAAAAATGGATCTTCCATCGACTACTATAGTAAATTTAATCTTTAAAACAAAACAAAAATGAATTGGAAATGACTATCGATTACGTTTGATAGCCCACTAATTTGTTGATTCGTTATAAGCTGTGCTGTGATTATCAACATTTTTTACAAAAAGAAATGTTTTTCTGGATACTAAGTTACAGTTAAAAATTTACAATCATTGACCATTTATTTGTCGACACTTACACTTACACTCTTATTCATATTCTTATCAAGTCAAGTCTTATCATCGTAATCGAATTCGTCAAATTTTTAGTTAATACCAAAGCTTGTTGTTGTAAGTTAAATGTTAGAGTTAGGTCCTATCATTAGAGTCTATCTGAAGTTTGGAATTCCCGCTGTCTCCGAAATCCAAAATAATGTAAATTATTGCAGTGAGATTAGTATTACTATTAGTGTATAGTATTACTATACTTATGACTTATACTATACACTATAACTTATAAAATATAAACGGTAACTGCAGTTTTGGCTATAATTATTATTATGACTTATGACATAACTTATGACACTTATACTAATGTCCATAACAATTATTTTGATAAATAGTAGTGACTTAAATTTAAATTAAGTAGAAGTCACCTAACTAACTTTTAACTTACTAAATTGAATTTGAGTCGTAGTTAACTTCAATAATTCAATAATGTCAAGTAAATTAGTAAGTCGTCTAAGTCTAAGTTAGCCATGCCATAATCATAATACGAAGTGTAGCGATTATTCAATTATTATTCAGATTTTTATTATTACAAATTATATTTGTAAAATTATATAATATAGGCTATAGGCCTATTATTAACATAGTATATTTAATTATTATGTTATTGTTATAGTATAGAATTATAGCAATAGTGTAGGTTTAACAAGTTTGAAGGACACATCAAAATTATTAATAACTCTTAGTGTCTTAGCTTAGTCCTCCTCAGTAACAGTGAAGTACCTTTGACTTCATGCCGTCTGGGGTGAACTCCCAAAAGTGTGCCCCTGCCTTAACACACCTGCACCATTTAAACATATATTATTAATTATTATTACATAAATAACATAAATGATGTTTATGGCTAAAAATATATATCCGGTAAATTAAAACTATAGGGTAAAATTTACAATAATATAAAACTCCCCAAGCAAATTTCATATGACACATGTGCAATGCATACTTATGGGGTGTGAGGTGGTTAACCGCACTGGCAGCACTTTAGGGGATTATATATAATATAACATGATTAAATATAGGGTATTGTGAACAGCTTATTTCCCACAAGTTAATTGTTCGCACCAAAATTCCGGACAAGAAGATTGTGAACACAGAAATCTCCCAAACAGAATACTCAGCACACAGAAAATTCCCTATACGCAAAAGTCCCCACACAATTTTTACAACAAAGGATGTACCTGCAAAATGCCTTCTAAAATTTTATTATAAGTAACAAAGTACTATTTTAAAGTCTGTATCAAATTAATGATGCACTTAGAAATGTTTGGTGGGTGATACGGCTAATTTATAATTAATGTACCGGTATAAAATATAAAAAAATCTATAAATTTCTCTCTTCATTCTTAGTTGTGCTGCAGCTTTAACTTGTTTTTACTATTTTAACTGCTAGCAAGTGATGCACAGCCTTTGACAAAAATGAAGGTTTACAGTTTATGTCAGTTTACAGTTTAATGATAACACGACATATTGACACAATGTTGCATTTCTCTTTGCCTTTTTTTGTTTTATTTGAACCTTCAACTTTCACCAAAAGTGACAACATATTTGAAATATAAAATAAAATTCCTTCCTGTCATTCATTTGGCAACGGACAAGACTCAAATTTTGTTAAAGATTGAGTGAGTATTGTAAATATTATTTTTGGTTAAATGTGAGAACAATTAAGGAAGGAGCAAGTGAGAAATATATGAAAAATTTTATTTTATTATTTTTATGGTTCCATAAACTATTTCTTAAAGAAATACTTTAAAACTTTTGGAATAACAATGTGATGAATATGGAGGAAAATTCAAAATATAGTTGTCATGTTCTTTCACCTTTAAAAAAAAATATTTTGTTTTCTTTGCCTGTGGGGTGTCATTAAAAGGTTACTGATTAAAAGTATCTAATTATTTTGCACTTGAAGCCTTAAAATTTGAAGCTTGATGCAAAAAATTATGATTAAAAAATAAATAATTATTAAACATTTGAAATATTTTAACCTTTTCGATACAGATGACGTCAATGCAACGTCACGATCACCCACTTTCAATTACCAAGGACGTCACATTGTCATCATAACAAAGAGGCAAAGAACTTTTCTGAAATACCAAGGACGTCACGTCGACGTCATATTTCACTGCTTTATATTTCTTTATTTGTTAATCTATAGAGAAGTTAATAAGCGAATCTTATAGAGCAGGCCCGCACAACATACGGCCCGTGGGCCACATGTGGCCCGCCAGCACCCACTAGGCGGCCCGCGAAGTAACAAAATAATTTTTATTATTATTATTTTCTGAATAGCTTTCCCCCTTGTGCTATCATCTTTCGAGCTGCACAAGCTTTTCATAAAGTATTTTGGCCCGCCTTACATTTTGAGTTGTGCAGGCCTGGTATAGAGAATGAAAAATACCGGAAATTTCTTCTTTAATTTTAAAAAAATTGCTAAGTCAGCAAAAATCAATGCCAAAACCAGCAGTAACGAAAGGTTTAAACAAATTGCAGAAAATTTTATTAGATAAAAAAAAATTCCTTTTTCACAAAAACCATTGCATAAATGCATTATAATTGTCTTATGGGATACCTCTCTTTTGTTTCTGTAAATTTATAGAATAAATAAATTTGTCACCACAAACAACATTCTGTTTTTAGAAAAGTGATGATACAGATGCTAAGTTGAGATTGTGTCATTCTTATCTTTTACAATACTTTTAAAAAAAACTGGGTCAGAAGGAACACTACATTTGACACGACTGTAAGCGTGTATCACCTGCCCTTGCTTATTTATGCACTACCCAAACCAACTGGACTGAGACACTCTTTTTATTATTTTTTAAAATATGAACGGTGAAATGCTTCTTTTTATTTACATTCAAGCAAACTCAGTAAGTTTTTATCCACTTTAAGTAAAAAGGAATTATCAGTGATCCAACATATTTTGTAAGCAGTTCCACTTATTTATCATAATCATTTTATATTTAAGTGTCATTGTAAAATCTCTTTGTTTTGGATTTTTTAATTTCAAAGTCCAACTTGTAAGTGACTAAAACACACCCATGTATAACTATTAAAATTCCATAAATTTAAGCTGGAAATATTTTAAATGTATAAAATCTTATTTAACATTCACAGGCAGTGTCCTAGGTCATGAACTATGATGAACTGCTTAGACCGACTGGAAGAAGAGGTCATCAAAGTGAGTTGTCTTTTTTCTCCTTGCCTCAGTGTTTTAATTAAATTTAAATGTGGGGGTCCCACTTATTTAAAAGTAAACCTTTCAGTGCAATTTTTATGACACTTCAAAAGAGCATATATTCATTATCCTGAACATATTTGAGCTTAAAGTTCTCTTTTGGTTCTAATTCTCCTTGAAATCTAAAGTTTGATACTCAGCTTAGTTTTTAAGTTTGGTATAGCCTCCTTTGGTGTTAAGCTAAGCAAGAATAACATGACCATCGCCATGAGGCAGATCCTTAATGCTTCTACCTCCGACACTACCTGTCCCCTTGTCTCAACACATCAAGTATTGTAGTTGTTTTTATTTTCAGATTCTCGTTATTGGTGATGCAGGTGTAGGGAAGACGTCATTTGTTCAAAGATATGTCAAGGATGAATTTAATAAAGATTACAAGTGCACCATTGGCTGTAAGAATAACTGCACAGTTTAGAACCCTTTGTTTGCCCCCCTCTTATCCAGTTACAAATGTATTTATTCATGTTTTTTTTTTTAACTTTTATTTTAGCTGTCTACACTCCCTGTGGTTAAAAAGTTTTAAGTTTACAAACATAAAAAAAAAAAAAAGATTATTTCGGTGATCATGAAATATTTTTGTGCCCACTGCATATTATCTGATGGTCAAATTTTGTTTGCTGTGTTCTTGCTTATCTGACTTTGCACTTGAATTCAAACAACTTTCAGGTATAAAATTATTTTCTTGGTCATTTTACAAGTAAACTTAAACTAAAAATATAAAGCTTTAGGTGAAGGAATTTTCCATGTTTGCCTAAACAAAGTTTGTCTCTAGTAAAACCCAACTAAAAATATAAATGTTTCCAAAAGAGATCTTTTGTAAAAAAAAATAATTAATTTGTTCAATGTCACTGTTTTAAAAAAAAAGGAAAGAAAAACATGTTTATTGTACATTTTTGGATTTAATTCAGGTAGCTTAGCTTAACAGGAAAGCCTGAATATGATTATTAGGTTGACAGATGCGTTTTAATTCCACATTAATTGTTTTGAATTTGTTGGTTGAGATCTTTATGGCTAACCTCTTTCTCAAGAATAACAGTCTTACTTAGGTAATGAGTTTACTCAGCATGTAAATGTTTATAAAAAATTATTGCTCAAATCAAATAATTTTATATAAATTATCTGAAACGTTCCATACTTGCAATTTTAAAAAAAATTAGTTAAGAAAATAAAATTTCCATCTGATAATTTGAAACATTTATGTCTTATTAATTGATTTTTAAAAAAAGTTGATTTGAATGCTGAATTGTTGTGAAATAATTCGGAATGTAAAAAAATATGGCTGGCCATGCTTTGAGGTTTCTTTTTTTTAATGGTTTGCAATCATTTTTTTAATTGAAATTATAAGAATTCTCAATGTTGTTGTTTTTTTCCCCGCAGTTGATTCTGTGAACAAAATTATCAAGAGTCATGGTGGGAAACCTGTGAATTTCAAACTTCAAATCTGGGACATAGCTGGTATGGTTGTGGTCTATTCTTTAAAATGGTCCTGGATCCTTTATTAAATCATGAACACATTTTTTTTGTACACAGTTGCACAAGATGATAACTATTTTAATGCACAAAATCTTGCATAATATATATATATATATATTTAAATATATATACATGCATACTGTGAACATAAATTAAATAAAGTGGGTCTTCATTTAAATTTAGCAAATATACTCACTAAAAATAACATTAAAAATAGTTGAAGTGGAGAAATTTTCTTTTAACTCTGAGATTAACAAAAATATTAAAATGGGAACATATTTACATTACATTCATACAACTGAATAGCTATCTTTACTTGAGCTGATGGGACTGTTTTCCTTCTCTTAAGGTCAAGATAGATTTCCCTTGCTGACAAGGTCCTATTATAAATATGCTAGAGGCTGCCTCCTTTTATTTGACATCACAAGACATCAAACTTTTGAGAATGTCAGTAAGTGGAAGGAGAGTCTAGACAAAAACTTGGATCCTGATTCTCCAGCGATACCATGCCTGCTGGTGGCCAATAAGGTATTCTTAAAGAAATATAATAAAATAGCTGTACACTTTCATGAAAGCATAATTCTGTATGAAAACTGGAATAGGAAAAAGAGGACCAGGATGATTTGTTGTCTTAGACATATTTTTATTCTTTTGGGGGTATAATAGAATTGTAGCATCTTATAATGGGTTGGTTTTATTGATAATTAACCTACCAAGTTATTGATTTCTTAATGATTCCATGAGTTTTGACTCATTAGGTAATATATACATGTGTAGTCTGTTGGACAAGTAAACACAAAAATTAAAAATCATAGATGAGAAAGCCATCTTGTTTTTACATCACAGGGTTACAATATATTTAAGCTTATTTAGCTGCATAGTGTTTAGTAAATGAGCTCCACTCTAATTCTTTTGAAGACATCAGTTACTTGGAATAAATGTGGGACATAGTGTACAAATCACAACACTATTTCCTTAGATACATGTCGCTGGTGCAATGTCTGACACTGTTGGGTTCATATGGTAAAGGCTTCTTCTAGCTCAATGCTATAACTGTGCACCCATCTCTTAGTCATGAGGGTCTAAGCTATATATTACACAGACTAACCTATGAAATCAAGATGAATATATTTATTAAAAAAAAAAAAATTAAACACGATGGTCTCCCTTGAAATGTATTGTTAACAAAATGGTCTCCCTTGAACTGTTTTGTTCACTTCCTATTTGTCTTGTTGTCTTGCTCAGTTTTAATAAGTTAGTTTCTCTATATCTTAACTTCAATTGTTTTCGTAACATTTTCCATAAAGGGAATAAGTGATAAAATTATTTGTAGAAATATGAACTTATTTCTTGGAGTTGTGCTTACTTAAGATTTAACTTCTCATAGTGCCTGTATCATTTTATCATTCTTTTTCCAGTGCAATTAAATATATAAAATCAGTGCAAGTCATGGGATTATGCAAATTTTGTAAATTTTAATTTATCTACTAAAATTTGCACAACATTTGATTATTTTGCTGATATGAATTAACTGCATCTGCTCGTTCATAAGCCTGTTGGTTCATTAGCCTACCCCCTTAGTTTTTAAAGGAAAAAGCTTGAAACGTGTGAATCCTGCTCATTAACCTTCCCCATAAAATAATATTGCCAGTTGAAGCAATGTGGTTCCAAAGAAAATATTTATTTTTAAAGATACAAACTTTTAAAATAATTATTGTATAAATGAAAAGACTTAAAAATGAATAAACATGCACTATATGTCTACCTGTATATACGGTAGCCATACTGAACATTTCCAAAATAGGACCTCTGGGATCTACACCTGCATTATTCAATATAGGTACTTTGATATTCTGATTCTTTGATATTTTGAGTTTTGCCATTTACTTTTTCTAAAATTATAAAAAATAGCATATGACCCATTCATAAGCCGACCACCCCATTTATTGCACTGAAATATTTCCCCTGTTCATAAAATGGGCTTATGAACAAGTATCTTCGGAAAATGCTTTGAATCTTTACCACCATACTATGATCTACATCCCATCTTTGATTGTTTCTCTTATATCATTAATTAATATGTGGCTTTCAACTTGCTCCCCAGTCTGATAAGGATTCAGACAGACAAGTGTCTTACAACGAGATAGAAGAAATCTGTCAAAGGCTGAATTTTGTACAGTGGACGGAAACTTCAGTGAAAGCAGGAACAATGGTGCAAGAAACTGTCACGTAATATGACTTAATTCATTCAGTTATTGAAAGCACCTTGCCCCTTATGTTGCTGCACAAATGTTTGATCTTGACTCATGCATTACGGTGCACTGTTTTTTTTTACATGGTGCAGAACTCCTTTCCCTTGAAGTTTTATCTTCTTACTTTAAGCTTAGCAATAGTTTGGGATTAATTTCTATGTCAATGTGAGGATCAAAAAAAGCTTTGATGTCACCATGAGCTTATTTACAAGTTACAAGCAAGTCAGAAGGGTATTTTTGTGAGTTTAAAAAACAAACATTGCTAAGAAATGACAATAAACAATAGCCTGTTGTGAAATTTAATTGGGGAAAAATATGATATATGTTCATGTGTTTGAATGGTTGGTCCAGGGATGTACAGAGGATTAGGGGCATTCATTTGAAATGAGACCCACTTCCCTAGTTACCACTTCCTGATCCTGACCCCAATGCCCTAACAACAAATTTTAAAATAAATTTAAAGTGATGGACATGTTTTTATTGTTTACCCATTGATGTAGGCTCCTTGAAGACCTCCTGTTAGGGTCAAGATCCCAGGTGTTGGGGTCAAGATCCCAGACAATTCCCTCAACTGACCTGGCATGTAGTGCATGTAAAACTTTATAGACCTGGGCTTATTTCATTTAAATGTTCTCTATATATAAGGCTTTTTCATTTGTTTTACTATTAGTTTATAAATGATCTAAATGCCTGAATATGCAAATAATTGTCTCACAGTGCATGCCAGGCTTTGTTTTTTTTTTTAAATATCTTTTAAAAACTGTTCATTACTTTCTCTTAAGGTATCTAATTGATGTCATTCTTGGAAACTCACCAAAAGATTATAGTCCAAGTGAGTTTGAGCACGTGGACTCTGTGTCTTTGGTGGACTTAGAAGTCAGTCATAACACTAATAAGAGGAAGACAAAATGTGCTGCTTGTAGATGAAGACAGTGAGGTGACACAATTCAGTGGCATAGCATCTTTATCCTTAGTTTATTGAATATGTGGCTGAAAGATAATAGAGTTGTTACAACTAACAAAACGGTGCTGATCTCTTGTAAGGCCTATGCAAAAGGTATCAGCTGTGTTAAAGCTACCATAGTGAGGGGGGAAAATATAATGATGGAAAATGATGGACACATAGTTTATCAGTCAGTAGAGAGATATGAAGAATAGATGGGATAAAGACACATAAAGTCACTCTTTGTGATGGGATAAAGACACATAAAGTCACTCTTTGTGATGGGATAAAGACACATAAAGTCACTCTTTGTGATGGGATAAAGACACATAAAGTCACTCTTTGTGATGGGATAAAGACACATAAAGTCACTCTTTGTGATGGGATAAAGACACATAGAGTCACTCTTTGTGATGGGATAAAGACACATAAAGTCACTCTTTGTGATGTAAATCAGGGGATTCCATGCTTGCAATTTTTGTAAAAAGTACAATTGATAAGCATACAAATCTTTTCAATACCGTATCCATCAAAGTGTGATTCACAAGATAAAGTTTGGGACCCTGATTTTGTACAGCGTGTAAATGAGAGACAGTTATGACAGCTATTAGGAAATAGAACAGGGTATGCTTAAGCTTGAAAGGAAATAACATCACAATCAACCATTTCAAGAGAACACATGTTTAAGCTTGAAAGGAAATTACAGGACAATCAAGCATTTCAAGAGGACACATGTTTAAACTTGAATGGAAATTACAAGACAATCAAACGAATGTTTCAGCAAGGAGCCTCATTCATTAAGACTTACTAAGAGTTTGATTTGCCAAAACCATTTGTATTAAAGTTTATAAGAACAATATGGATGTTTCATGTGATGCATGTTATAAGGAAGCAAGAGTTGTATTTTTTTTAAATGTTAAATTTTGAACCTTGTCCACATTCCCAGCCTTGCATGCCGTGTGCCCATGTTCATAAACGTGCACAACACCATTTCTCCCTCCGTTTTCTTATCAGAATGCCTGAAAATGTTCACTTTACCTTTTAAAACATTTATGGATCATTCCATTTTTATTTTGAGCCCTCCCTCATCTTAAAATAAAAAATTGTTTAGAGATTAATCATGACATTGCTATTTTTTTACTTTTATGCAGCAAGTCAATTTGTCTTCTGCCAATGCATTCCAAACCTTTTAAAAATGGTCCATGTTTGATGAATTTTGTGAAAGATTGCATAATTAACCCTTTCGTTACCGATGACGTTGACCCGATGACCCACCTTCAATTACCAAGGGCGTCACATTGTCGTCATAACAAAGAGGCAACGAACGTTTCTGAAATACCAAGGAAGTCACGTCTACATCATATTTCAATGCTATATATTTTCTTTATTCGTTAATTATTAGAGAAGTTATTAAGCGAATCGGATAGACAATGAAAAATACCAAAAGTTTGTTTGTTTTTTTTTTTTTTAAATAAAAAAAAAAAAAAAAATTTTTTTTTTTTTTTTTTTTTTAAAAAAAAAAAAAAAAAAAAAAGTGAGTAAAAATGGATGCCCAAAAAGCCGCGGTAATGCAAGGGTTAAAAACAAAGTATATTGATTTGTCAAGTAATACAAAGTGAAAAATAAATATGGTAATTAAAATGTTAATTTTTTTTTTTAATATTCTGTATATATTTGTGCAACTGCAGCTTAACTTCAGCTATTTTAGTCCAGACAGCCGATTTTTTAATCCCATGCCAAGTTGGCTCTGGTCTTTCGCAGACTTCTGTGGCTAAATTTTAAACTGGGGGTTTATCCCCTCCCCAAGGTCGATGTGATACTTGGCAATTGAGTCCAGTGAGTCAGGATTTTTACCCACTGGTGGAAACAATGTCTTTGAACATTTCAGATTTTGGATTCCAAACCAGACAATCTTACGGTAGTGCCACCAGATTATAAATAACAGATTATAGTTTTTACTACTTTACATCTCGTGATTGAAATCTTTTTGAAAATATTTTAACCTAAGTCTGCTATACCAAGGACGGCCATTAAGGTGGAGCAGTCAGCCAAATTTGATTCTAACTTTTAAGATAGCTGTCCCAAGGACAGGACTTAGGTGGAGCAGTCAGCTATATTTGATACAAACTTAAGCCTCACCTAATTTTGTAAATTATATTTTTGTTTAAAACTTTAGCAAACTTTTTAATTCCTCATTTTTGTGTGTTGATTTTAGACTCTTTTCACAATTTTATTGTTAACTGGCACTATGCAGAGAAAATGACTTGGATGGGCGGGCATGCACGCCCAATGGTCAAGCAGAGCCATAACGGGCTATCATAGTGTCAGTAGGAAATTGTCTTTGTTAAAATTGATTAAATCTTATATGCCTAGGAAAACTGTCTCAGTTAAGTGGACCTAGTGCATTCAGGACAGGATTAAGCCAGTGCGGGACCTGTAGCAAATGTTACAAAAGAGGCCCTATATTGTAAAAGACCCCAAAAACAGCACAAATATATTTGAACACAAGTCTTTCTAATTAGTATAGTAGCTATCATTATCAAAAGTACTGTAACACAGTCAACATTATTGTTTAAATATTAACTTTTTTGAGCAAAGTTGTTGATGATGTAGGATGTATCCAATTTCACAGAGAAGTTTATGTTCAGTGTTCAGTATGATCATTCCCCCCACAGTATGATCATTCCCTTCCACAGTATGATCATTCCCTCCCACAGTATGATCATTCCCTCCCACAGTATGATCATTCCCTCCCACAGTATGATCATTCCCTCCCACAGTATGATCATTCCCTCCCACAGTATGATCATTCCCTCCCACAGTATGGTCATTCCCTCCCACAGTATGGTCATTCCCTCCCACAGTATGGTCATTCCCCACCACCAAATGATCATTCCTGTTTCCAACTTAATCATTGTTGAAAATAGATGGCCTACAAGATGACCAAACATTAGATATTTATTGGGGTGGGGCCCCTAAAAGTGTTGGGGGGGGGGGGGCATAGCCTTTGTTAGTTTTGCAACTAAATTAATCCATTTCTGAGCGTACTTATCAACTCCTGTTTTGCCATAGGTTTTGACACTGCAAGAACCTTTGAAACTATTTTAAAATGAATTTTAAAATGAAAATGTTTTATGAATCCATCCTCACAGTGTTTTGTACGTGGCATTAATCCAAATCAAGCCATGTTTACATTTAATAGTCTCATAATAATCAATCTCATTCTAATTCTAAATGTTTTGATAAAGATCTTGATTGATGTTGTATTAAATGTATGTTTGAAATGTAAAGTATATATTTTTTATTTTTAATGAACTTTATTCTTAACCTAGGTTATGAAAATAACTTTAGCATGTTACGTTCCTTGCACATTTTTTACTGGAGCTAATTATTGCTTTGTTTTAGATAAACTGATATCAGTACAAACATACACTTACATGTACTTCAGTTTGCTGTATATTGTCATCTTGAGATTTCTGATTTACAGCGAAGACTATTTTATATACGTTTTATAGCTTTTTTGTCTTGCACTGTTAACAAAATATTGAAATACTTTTATTTTTAAAGCTGAATGACAAAATTTTCAGAACGGTCATGCGCAAGTGGATCTTTTAGTGGTGAAGCAAGATGAATTCAATCTTTTTTTACAATCATTCATACAATGACATTCTGAATTCAGTTGTTGTTTTATGATTTAAGTGTAGTTTATCAATAGATGTCTTTTTTTTTTTTTTTTATATTTTGTTTTTGTGATACATTTTTTTTTTAACAGTCAATGAGTTTTATTTTTATTTTTTGCAATTTTCAGAATCTGTAACAGTTTTTTTGGGGGCATAATTTTTTTGAATGAGTTTCAATTCAGTGATGACAGCTTTTACCTATTTTTTTTTACAATCATTCATACAATGACATTCTGAATTCAGTTGTTGTTTTATGATTTAAGTGTAGTTTATCAATAGATGTCTTTTTTTTTTTTTTTTTATATGTTGTTTTTGTGATACATTGTTTTTGTAACAGTCAATGAGTTTTATTTTTATAGTTTGCAATATTCAGAATCTGTAACAGTTTATTTGGTGGCATAATTTTATTGAATGAGTTTCAAGTCAGTGATGACAGCTTTTACCTACTAAGCCAGTATGTAAATGAATAATATGAGATCAATATTTAGTTGTTATCTTTGAATCTGTGGGCCTCTGCCATTTCAAAGTACTGACACTACACACAAAAACCCCTTGTTTTTTAAAGATATGTTGTCACAGCAAGAATTAATCTACAAAACACTTGTGGTGGAAACGAAATCCTGTTTGCCCTGTGATGTATTTATTATACTGCCTATTTGATTCTATTGATTAGCATCAATAATGACGTAATACTATGTAGAGTTGTCATCAGTTATGGCATAATACTATGTTGAGTTGTCATCAATAATGACATAATACTATGTTGAGTAGTTAATTTACATAATCGAATCTTGTCTATTTATAAATTAAACAAGGAAATTTGAAGGAAAAGAGGTGTCAAAATTTCTTTAAAAATCCTTTATATTTTGCATAATTGGTAGGAGGTGAATTACCTGAAAAATATAAAGCATTTATTTTTTAGCTTGTTTAATCCCCTCTGTCAAGTTAATTATATAATTCTCTTTATATTTTATTCTAATCTTCATTTCTTTTCCCCTTGCCATTGTAATTTCAAACTTAATCCCGTTTTATTTTTTGTATTTAAGAAATAAAAATCATTGTTCAAAAGCCGTTTGGTCAAGTTGACAGCATGAACAGTGAGAGACAGCAGAGTTTTCCTACCTTCACACTGACAATGACAAAAAATATTCATAGAGGAAAGCCAATTCTGTATTAATTTTTTTCAACTGTATTTACTTATTTATTCATATCATTTGTGAAATGATCAAACACATAACATCAGCATTATAAATGGCCAAATACATAAACAAATATCAATGTACAGGTTATCAGAGTAAATATATTGACATTTTTTTTAAAAAGGGTATATTTTATTTAAATTCAGAAATAAATAGAACAATCATGAAGTTTAATTTTTTTCTGCAGTATACATGACTATGTTCTGAGGGTCTCCATTGGGTACTGTTGCAGGGTGTGAATAATCCTAATCAAATAAATCAGTTTCCTTGATGACCTTGTTCATGTCCACCACTGATGTGCCTTCTATTGGACATTATGAGTATTAGTGTATGATTTACTTTTAAATCTAAAACGTCAAAGATTTTCAGTTTTTAAAATGTTTAAAGAAGATGAAATGTATAAAATCCAAAAACGAAATTGCTCTTGAAAACTACAAGCAAGTCTTTTTAAAGGGCTCCTGAAAATATAAATCATAATAATTAATGCTCAAATTTATCAAATTAATTTTGAACCAGTATAAAAAGTGGTGTGGCAATTACACAATTTCAATACTGCAAAGTGTGCCATATGATAATGTCTCAAATAAATTCAGTGTTGATTGTGAGCTGTTTGATTGGTGATAATGTTTGGTTACTGTAAATTTCTCTGTAAGTTTTACAGAAATTGATTTTAAATCCCATGTGTATGAAAATATGTCTGTGTATCAAAAAAAGTATGTAAATGTGGTTTGATTTTATGATTATAATTGATGTTTTCGTTATGATGTGATTATAGTATTTTAAAAATAATTGTTAACCTGCCCCCAACCTCTCTCTTACAAAAAAAAATATAAATTTTTTACCAATAAATCTGAAATATTCAAAATAAAAAATACTGTGATGTTTTCATTGCTTGGATAAGCTGTGAGTAAAAGCTTGAAAAATAGATTAAAGAGAGACTCAGCAAAATAATAAATGTATGATCCAAAGTCTTCCTCCGTATTCAGTGAGTGATTTTTCAGTCAACATATTATTTCTTTTGTATATATTTTTCAAGCTTTTAAATACATTGAATTTTTTTAAAGTTCCTTTGGGATAAGCCACAGGGTACTCCCTTCAAAAAGGATTTATAAGAATGTCAGGCAGTTTTTTGGTTGTTGTTTTTTTTTTTTTTTTTTTGGGGGGGGGGGAGCAGATTTTAAATGATAATTGAAAAGAAAATGGGAAGGGGGGGGTAATCTCATCACATGCTAAAAAAAAAGTGTGTTAATGAATGTAAGACTCAGTAAGAGTCACTCATTGAAAATATTCAAATGCTGTGTTTTAGAGCTTGCAGTATTGACTGCTGTACCAGATCACATGGAAACATTCAGGAGCTGACATAAACTTTAACAATTGTAGGAGCCACTTGCTCCCAGATGCCAGTTCCAAACAAACAATTGTACACAGTGAATAAATAATCCATTAAATTGTATGTACACGTCACTTTCATGCAGTTGAAATCCCATGTTTTGTAGATACCTTTCATTCATACTGACTGCAGTTGTACTGCACATATGTGAACAGCTTATGTGTTGCAGTC